CCCCCTCCGGCCCCAGCCACACCACGCTCCCCTGGCAGGCCCTGGAGAGAACAGGGTTAAGGACACACTGCCTTCTCCTCCTCTGCCCGCAGTCCCCACTGAGTCAGAGCAGGACATGGACAGCCCCAGCAGTGCAGACTCCAGCCTGCAGGTGGGACCGCGCGCGTAGGGGCGGAGCGGGCTTGTGAGGGGCCTATGAGGCGAGGACTCACCGGGTTGCCGTCAGGGCCCCTCTGTCCAGGCTCTCCCCGGTCTCCCTTGATGCCTGGTACACCCTGCAAACACGTGTCGAGCCCTGAGCCCCGAGCCCCGGATGCTGCCCTGTGCCCTGGCCCGTATGCACACCGCCCAGGTACACCCCCACGCGGTGGGGCGGGAGGCCTCACCCTGTCTCCTTTAGGGCCTCGGTCACCGTCACTGCCTGCCTCTCCCTGTAGGGACGAGATGTCAAGTCAGGTCCTGGTGCAATGGCAGGGGTGGCCCCAGGCTGATCCCACACTCTGACCTTAGTGCCCTTGGGTCCTGGGGGTCCTTGTTCTCCAGGGAGTCTGAGACCTGGCTCATCTACAGCCACCTACACACAAGGTCAGAGGGGAGAGACGTGTCTGTCACAGAGGGTTACGGGGTCAATACCACATGGCCTGGGGCAAAAACGAGGTGGTCACCTTGGGGCCGGGGGGGCCAGGAGGTCCAGGGGGGCCGTCTCTGCCCTGCAGAAGAGAAGAAAATGGGGTGTCTGTCCAGCAGCGCCCCAGGCAGCCCCACCCCGTGGCTGGCCCAGCTCACCTGTTCCCCTCGTTCGCCTTTCTCTCCTCGTTCTCCCTGGAAGCCAATGGCAGGGGGGGGCTCTGCTCATCAGGGCCTCGCCCCTCCCCACCCATTTGCTGGTCCCCCAGCCAGCCCCAGGCTCACCCTCTCTCCTGGCCTTCCTGCCTCCCCGGCACTCCCAGCCGGGCCTGGAAGCCCAGGAATACCGGGCTTTCCAGGCTCCCCAGCAAGGCCGGGAGGTCCAGGGGTGCCCCTCTCTCCAAGGGCCAGGCCAGGCGGCCCCTGAGGGCCAGGGTCTCCACGATCTCCCTTCAGTCCACGTTCTCCAGGAAAGCCGATGGGACCCTGCGGGGTGGAAGGCATACTGGCAGCTGCACAAGGGCACCCTCCCTGGGTGCCTCCCTGGTGCCACCACCCCACTGGGTGCCACCACTCACCTCCTTGCCTGGGGGACCGCGCTCGCCCAGGTCCCCCTTGGGCCCCCGCCGCCGCTCGGGCAGAGGCAGGAGGCCGCCCGAGCTCTCGTCCCAGGTCTCCACAATCTCCCGCAGGGCAGACGTCTGGGAGATGGTGAGAGGTCAGGGCGACGGCCCAGAATGCACGGGCGTCCCCAGGCCCACCCACCACCCAGCCACTAAACAACCGACCTTGATGCCGACAGAGTCCAGCAGCCGCTCCACGTTCTAGGCACACAGGGCTGGGTGAGGGGCTGCCCCCGCAGGAGCCCAGCTCCTGCTCACAGAGGGACCTCCACACCCTCTTCCCCAGAGTCCTCGCAGGCCCCTGGTTGGGAGCCCCTCCCCGGCAGGTCCCCATTGCCCAGGTTCCCCTAAGGGTAGCTGCAGGAGGCGCTGTGGGGCAGGGGTTGTGTGGAGCTTGGGCTGGGGAGAGAGGAGGCCCCTAAGGGCCTGCAGTCAGAGCCAGGGTCTGGCCCAGGGCTGGCTCACCGGTGCACTCCCTGGTTCTCCTCTCAGGCCACGCTCCCCAGGGAGGCCCTGGAGGGATCAAGAGACAAGCTACCAGGTCCAGCTTGTGGAGGCCATAAGTGTGCATATGTGGGGCGTATATGTGCACATGAGGGGTATGTGTGTGCATATGCATACACATGTGGGTGTGTGCACATATGGGCGTATATGTGCATATATACATTCATGTGTGCACACATAGGCACATGTGGGTGTGTGCGGGGCACTGTGTGTGTGCATGTGTGGAGCATGTGGGCATGTGTGTGCACGTGTAGCCATGTGTGCATGTGTGGGTGCCGTGGCTGCCTAAGCATGAGGAAAGGTGGGGGCTCACCTGTTCCCCCTTGGATCCAGTCTCCCCACGGTCACCCTGAGAACAGAGGATTGGGTGGGGAAACATTCCTCAGGCCTGGTCACCCCTTGGCCACACCCATGCAGCAAAGCACTCACCTTAGGGCCCACACTTCCTGGGACACCAGGAAAACCCTGAAACACGACAGAATACAAGGGGTCGTGCAGGCCTGTGGCTTGTCAGGATGGGACCCCAGGGGCACACGATGGCTCCGTCACTCCCCTGGAGTGTCCCAGAGCCAGCCTGCACACTCACCTGGCCAGGGGGGCCGACCTGTCCTGGGAGGCCCGGAGGGCCCTGGGGGCCAGGGCTACCAGGAGCTCCGCGCTCTCCCTTGGGGCCATCGGGACCCTGTGGAGGATGCAGCCAGTGGCCAGCGTCAGGACCCTGGGACCCCGGAAAGGGGCAGAGCCACGTCTCACAGACTAGGGTTGGGGGCCTGAGGTTTCACTCACCTCTCTCCCAGGGGCGCCTGAGTCTCCCTTCTCTCCCTAGAGAAGACAAGAGTGGTTCAGACACTGCCCCAACCTGAGGCCCAAGCGGACCCCGAAACGAGCCTCACCTTCCTCCCGTCCTCTCCAGGGTCTCCAGCTTCTCCCTGTGGGCAAACGACTCCCATCAGCCTGGAAGGTGAGGGTGTCTGCCACGCACCCATGGCACCTTTCAGGTGACAATGACTGCGTGTCCTGCATCTCTGTGGTCTGTGACAGGAGTGAGCCACTGCACGCCCAGGGTGTCCAGTACCAGCCCGACACCTGCCCACACCTCCTGCCTCTGCGTCTCCGGGCCAGTGAGCGCCCACATCCTGGGGGTGTGCCCACATGTGTTTCACAGGTGCCCCCGTGTGGCTGTGTGTCCAGGGGTCTCCGTCTGTCTGTACATCTTGGCCCAGGTCTGAACATGGTCGTGGGCCTACACATGTATGCACAGGGGCCTTGAGCTGTGGGTGCTGGCATCTGTGTGCATAGCAGTGTGTGGGGACAACTTGCACACGAATGTGCATGCCGGTGTGTCCCGGCCTGTGTCCCACGGCAGAGGCATGGCCGTGTGTGTCTTACCACGTCTCAACACGGATGCACATGCCATCCTGGAGCCAGGTCTGGGCACCTTTCTGAGTCTGAGTGGAAGGGTCTCTGTCATACGTCCCCAAGTGTGCCTGCCTCTGGACCCGGGCCGTAGCTCGGGGTTATCTCGGCATGTGTCAGCCCCTGTAGACACAGGCTGGTGCCTCAGTGCAGCTCGCTCCGTGCCCAAGGCTGTCTGCGTGTGCACACCGGCCATGCTTAGGGTGAACATGCATGCCTGGCCCAGTGCCAAGAGCTGGCTCAGGTCTGCACGTGTCCGAGTGTTTCCTGTGCCTGCACATCTGGGCTGTGTGCGCGTGTGTGTATGTGCGTATGTGTACGTGTGCGTGTGTGCGTGCATGTGTGTGCGTGTGCTGCCGTTGCTCGGCACGTTTGCCACGGTGGCCTGGACGCACTCACGTTTTTCCCATTCAGGCCGGGTTTGCCGTCTTCTCCCGGCTTTCCCTGTGGGAGTGGATCACTGGTCAGACGTGGGGGCTGGGGTGAGGCCAGTCAGGGCAAGAGGAGGCATGAAAGCCTGGACTTACTGGTGTTCCAGGGGGGCCCGGGGGACCGGAGGGCCCGTGTTCTCCTCGGAGGCCTGGAAGCCCCTAGAAAAAGTCTTGGCTGGGACTGAGAAAGCCTCTGAGCCACCCCCAGGGCACACCCACTAAGGGCCTTTGTGTGGACACCCCCAGGATCAGGAGACACCGACAGCCCTGGAGGCACAGACCCCACGGGTTAGGGGGGCCCTGCTGTGATTCCCAAGGAGAACCCCCAGAACTTGAGAGGCCTACTGAGACCACCAAGGCAAAGGTCAGAAAGGGGAAGTCCACTAAAGTTGCCTGCCAAGGACCCCTCCCAAAGTCGGGCTGACCACCCCCTCTCGCTGAGGGTGCGACTGGGGTCCTGGGGGCCCCGCAGCAGCTCCCCAACTTACATCTCTGCCCGGCTCCCCGGCTTTGCCTGCAGCACCCTGAGGACAGATTCAGAGTCACGACCTTATCGTGGCCACGGGGTCACGGCATGCTCTCTGGGGGCCGCTAACCCATGAACCGTGGCCTACAAGGCAGCAGTTGTGGGGGGACCCAGGCCAGGCTCGGAGCGGCCCTGATGGAGCTGAGCCCACCTACATGAGGCTGGGGTCCAGGGCTGGGCACGGCCACACTCACGCTCAGCCTGGGGGACCCAGGGCTCTGAGGGGGGGCACGGCCACACTCACGCTCAGCCTGGGGGGGCCTGGGGCTCTGGGGGGGCATGGCCACACTCACACTCAGCCCGGGGGGGCCCGGGGCTCCTGGTTTGCCGTCCAGACCGCTCCGGCCATCCAGCCCAGGAGGGCCCCGGTCACCCTGAGGAGACAGAGGTCAGAGGCCTCGAGGGCTGTGTGTGCTCAGAACCCAGGCGCACCTGAGACATCCACACCCTCACCTTCTCTCCTGCCGGGCCCCGGACACCTGGGTCCCCCTGCAGGGAACAAGCTCAGATAAGAGGTGGAGACAAGACAGGAGGTCGGCTGATGGGGTAACATGCGTGGCTCACCTGCGGGCCTGGGGGCCCCCGCAGCCCGTCGATGCCCTGCGGGTAGGGAAGGGAGGAGTCAGAGCAGGCTGCCCAGGGCCCGTACCCGCCAGGGCCAGCCACACTCACCCTCTCCCCAGAGGCTCCAGGTGGGCCGGGGTCACCCTTGGGTCCTCGGGGACCCTCCTGTCCGCGGTCCCCAGGCTCTCCCTATGACAGAGACAACCTTGCTGGGGGCACGACCTTGAGTCATGAGGCATGCCTGGGGCGAGGGGCAGGGGGTCCTTGCCCAGACCCGGCTGCATGCCACCCAGGCCCGGTACCTTCTCTCTGGCTCCAAGGCCTGTGTCCACCTACGAGGGGAATGGTCAGAGAATGGGTCAGTCAGGGGAAGGGGACCATGGGACCAGGTGGCACTGGGGACATTGGGGGAAGTGGGAGGGATGAGGGACCAGCAAGGGTAGGCAGGGAGGGTGACAGAGACCAGAACCAGCTCAACTCTTACCGACCGTCCAGGGAGTCCCGGGGGGCCCTGGGAAAGGGAACGATCAGTCCACGGGAGCCCCATGGCTTAGGTCTGCCCACTTCCACGCCCAGCTCTGTCTCGAATCCCCTGCTGCACCCAATGCCCACGTTGGAGGGCTGGCCAGGTCTGGGTGTACCAAGGGTGCTCCTCACAGCCCTCCAGGCCCCACCACCCTGAGCACTGGAACAGCCCCCCCCCCGGGCCAGGAGCACAGCCCTACTCACAGGCTCCCCTCGGTCGCCCCTTGGTCCAGACCGTCCCGGGGT